CATAACGTCTGTTTTTCCGCAGAATGTTGATGTGTGTGTGTGTGTGTGTGTGTGTGTGTGTGTAAACCCAGAGGTTAATGTATTCCTCATGAGCACATCAGTGCACACACTCATGTGTTTAGAGAATATGAGCAGATATACTAAAATTAAAAGTAATTTGAAAAAACTAAGTCTTAAAAGTGGCAATTCATCTATATTATTCCATTTTTTATTTATTTTTTTCAGGCATTGGATAGTCAAAAGCACAAGTAGTTCAGTGTTTTCATTCTATATCACCCTTAAATTCACTCTTGCCACAGGACACCGCGTAATGAGAAAATAATCTACTAGATTCTTATTATGGGACCAACCAGAAAGACGTCAGAGAAATTTTCCAACTTCCAAACTTGCAGTTTCAGAAATGTTGATCGGTGTTTGAAGCGCTCACAGCAATTTCTGAAAATTCTTCTACATGACTGCGATGTCATAGCTCCTCTGCCTCACAGACCACTCTTCCAGCCTTGCTGTAATTTAGAATAACATCCACAAAATCTGGGCCTACAAGTACTCTTTTCTCCGATAATCTCCTCGGGTAATATTCCAAAACCGATGTATCTCCAAGTTGAATACAAATATTTAAAAAGCTCTTTTCCATACATAACTTCACTGTCAATTCCTAAGCTAAAACATCCACCGCAAGCTTTGCGCGGGGGAAAAGAAAAAAAAAGAAGAAGAAGAAGATGTGGTTTGGAAAATGAGCCTGCTAATGTGTGCATGTTGGCGAATGCGACGCAGTGGAGATCAATCAAGCGCTCCGGTTCTCTCTGTGTGATTTACACACGCTATGAGGTGCTATAGTGAAGTGCAACCGGCCTCTCTGACCGACAACGTGGTCCAAGACAGCGGAGCCAAGGGAAAATAGCCACAAGATGGAGAGAGATGCCAACATAAGCCCCGACTTCTTACATGTCTTGTCAGTCCTTGGACTATTACAGGATTCCACTGACGAATGCACTGCACTAGTCCAAATAAAAAAGACAGAACTGACCACTGAATCTAAATGGCAGCTAAGGGAATGCATCAATCAAAAAATATGTGCTCGCTTGCCTCGGACAATATTTTAAGAGGGTAGCATGCGATTGAAAATTTCTTCTCCGTGAGGGGAGCGGGATTTTACTGTAAGGCTGATTTTAGCAAAACTGCATTAGCTGTATCTCTTGTTAAATTATATGCTGTAATTTTCAAGTCTAATCCTGCTCTGTACAGTTTTTGACACTATCCCCCCACTCTGCCTTACCCTGAACTACAACTTTTGCAACATCTGTTGCTACTCAAGCATACATCGTCAGCAAAGACACAGCGTCTATTTATTTCCAAAGGATATCCTCCTGATAGGAGACCATGCAGTACAGGACACACGCATAGTGTATACGGCCACGCCAGTGCCAAGGGCATTGTTTGTTATCCGTGTCCTCCAGAATCCTGCCCTGTGGCACTGTAGCAACTCAATACATAAATTTAAACATACACATGCGCACACAAAGATGGAGATGGTACAGTAATGTCGAGGATGAGGCTGTGCCTGCCCTCTACAAGCTGCGTCCCCTTTCGCAGCTCCTCAGAGCCAACTCACATGCACGCGTCCTTTAAACTAACAGTGCAACAAGGACACTGGTGGGAAGAGAAATGCTGTTTAAGCACTACTAAAATAAGTGGGTGTGAACAGGCCAGTTAGCGGTAGGGTTTATGGTGTTTGCGTCATTTATAAGGTGCATGTAGGCGAATGCTAGAGATCGGGGATGTAGATCCTGTTCTCTCTTCTCTCTGTCTCTCTTTTTCTTTTTCTTGTGGACACTGCTAACCTGTGATCCTCGGGAGCCTCTCTTGTGGTCCCAATCCGAACGGGGGAGCATCTGTGGGAAACAAAAACAGAAACATGTTCAAACCACAGTCCTGCACATCCTGTTTCTGTTCGCTTCCTGCAACAGCAGCAGCGCCACCATAATGCAGATAAACTCTGCTCAAGCAGAATAGAAAGGAAAAAGAAGCAAAGAAGTGGAAGAAGTGTGGGGGAAATGGAAACGCTCATAAAAGCAAAAATGGGTTTTGTCTATTTTTTTCACTTTCCATTAAGCACAGACGTCTAATGCAATTTCACAGTCAGGTTTGGTTTACTTTAGCTCTTATTCACCGCCTAAGGGGCTGTTGAAGGCTGAGGATTTTTACGCTGTTTAATTACCAGCCACTGTGTCCTCCCACAGGCCTTGTAAACCCGTTTTCCACCTTCTTGGGAGTAACTAAATGCAGGAGTGCAGCGACTGTCACTGATGGTTGGTGGGCACACTGCAGAGCCAAGTCAACGTTAGCCACCCCTCTGCCCAACTGGCTCTGTTAGGGCTTTCTGCCCCATAAGTGAGAAGTCCTGAGAACCCCAGCAGGCTGCTTTGACAAATTGCTGCTGCACACACTGAGGCAAGAGGCTCCAGCATAAGAGCCAATTTGATAATTCAGGTGTAATTTACTGTGTCAGTGTAGGTCATTGAGTTGTGTCATGCTGTGAGTAAAAACATTAGGAAAACAGTGGGTTTTCATTTGCCGGTGCTGTGGGCTTGTGTGGGCTTGTGTGGGCTTGTGTGGGCAGCGCTGTTGTTTAGCTTTTTTCCCCCCACAGTGCTGCTTTGTTTTAAACAAATGCAATTTTAGAGTTATTGTTACTGCTGCCCAATTAGGGTAATTTAGTATTATATATTTTTTTGCCTTCTTGTACCCATTAATGAACTGGGATTGTACCTTCTTAATAAACTGGGATTTTACCCCCACTACACTTTGGAGGCCAACAGAAAATGTGCTTTTTTATTCACAGCATTTAAATTTTTATTCAAAAAAATTTGTTAATTTTAAGTGTCATTTTTTACAATTGGGAAAAAAATGCCTCGGTTTACGGCCAGGTGTACAAAATCACTGAAGAAAATTAAGCAGGTTATTGTTTTTGTTACTGGGTACTTCAAATCTAAAGTATGTGTCTTTAACGTTAAATAATTAATACTCAATAAGCAGCAATCAAAAATAAAGTTTTGGTAATAAAGCTTCTGGGTATTATCTATGAACAGTTTCACACTTCATCTGCACTGCGTGGGCACCGTTTAATCACACGTGATTGACAGTGGCCAAAATAAGCAAACAACCCTCCAGCTGTCACCACACTTGAAGTCAAGTATTGCTAAAATCCAGCAAATCCTTTTTTCCATCTGAGCTCTACCTACTTCTAAATTGTGAAAAAAGAAGAAGAAGCAAAGACAGAAACTTCTCATGTGAGAAAACAGAAGCAGCTCCAAATTTGGGAGAAAGTCGCACAGGATCCATCGCTCATAGTCAGAAGTAGTAGGTTGTTTAGCAGTGAGGGGAAACAGTTTTTAAAGTCTTGAATTTAGGAGTCACAGCAGCTTTAAATTGCTTTAATAAGCAACAGCTTCGACATATTTTGTGGCAAAATGTAAAGTGCAATCTGCTGTTAAGTTTGTGGGACAGTTATTGTATCGCTCATCCTTTTAGTCAAGGTTTTCACAACAATGGGTACTGCAGCACAAAATGTGGTGACCGCGACAGAGAGCAAACAAGGTCACTGCTATATAATGTAAATCGCTCTTTAGGTGCAGCTGACGTGCCACAGTTTTACAGTTAGGATGTTGAATAAAACACAATATGAAGGGTTTACCCAAAACATACTCTTGTGCTTTGGCAATGACTGTATGCACGATAACATCTGTGAGTTGCTTTAAACTCCTTCGAGCTTGAACATACTGTCTCATGCACTAACAGAGCTATACTCGATAGAGTACAAAAGGAAGTCAACAATCAAACGTGTAAAAGGCGTATGTTCATGCAGTGGATGTAAATCACTGTAGACAATAGTATTACCCAGTCAGTGCTATTTGTCTTATTCTTTACAGCTCTAATGACAGCTTTTCTTACAGTATGGAGCTGGCAGTAGGCTACTCTACAGTTGCGCTAGAGTCCAACTCCATTAGAAAGTCCTAGTATCAGTGAGTCTCTCCAGGCGCACACGAGTAAACAGCCTTTCTGTTTGACGATCTTATATAACCCAACCTTTCATCTCCTTGCTCTGAGAGACGGACATAGACTATACAGAAGTCTACACGCTGCCTTTGATGTGCCAAAAAAAAAACCCCACACACAATACCTAAGCTGAGCACAACATTTGAGTCGTGCCGATAGCCTCTTGCGCAGAGTGACTTCCCCGGCCACAGAAGTTTATTTTTTCTGAGAGTACTCAAAAAAAAAATGTTAATACATGTGCATGTACAGTAGCTGCTCTTCTCAAACGGTGGGTGCAGTTGGATGCCAGTATGTGTGTGTGCGTTTAACCACAGATGGAAAATCACTTATGCTTTTAAATACAAGCTGCCAGTGCTAGAATAAACAATAAGCAAACAAATGCACACACATCATCTGTTTTAAAGAGGCAAAAAGCAACAATGTGAGTCTATAAGAAAAAGAACTAGATGATTAAACATCAGTGTATACAATCTACAGCAACTAGAAGAAAGAAAGTAAGTCTTGGTTTTGCTTTATGTTTGCTTTGCTTCGAAGGGATCGAGGAGAGTGGTCAAAGATAATACTTAAAACACATGAAAGGTCACTGCCAGTATCATTTCTGAAGAGGTAAAACCACACATGAATGATTTCTTAGATATCTCCTGGTTTTCGTGGACACTGTCCAGACAGCATAACACAGCTGAAGCAGTAAAACTTTCAAATGGACTTGTTTTTGTTCTAAAGCTCCAGTACACCTACTGGGAAAAATAACAACTTTGTAGAAGTTGTGCCCTTTGTTTCACCCTCTGATTCATTATTCCGGGCCATAAGTCAGAATAAGCCAGGTCTAATGGTGGTGATTTGAAAGTAGAGTCGTCTCTTTCCGTCTTTCTGCTGTAGTTACCTGAATAACATGACGCACTCAATAAGCTCCGAGGCATTTTTATGAGACTCTTGTTATAATCTGAATGAGTGGTACTCCTCAGTAATAGTAATAGCAGATTACTTCACTTTATAAGATGCAGCCAGACTGAGGCTCCTTCCGTAAAATAAGCTGGAAATAAGTAACAGGAACAAGTAACCACATTACACTATACATTCAGTCCTTCTTGCATTTATACTACTTGCCAATTGGAGTGGGAAGGCAATATTTTCAGTTGTGACAAAAAGCTGACACTGTCTATCTGCCTGACCCACAGGACCTGCTATTTTGGTTCCTTTATTTGCAGCTGCACATAAAGTTCAAAGGACTGGCTGAAGGTGAATTTAAACCAAAAGGGTGAGGTGGTCAGTAAAGTGACTCTTAGCCAGTCACATCTCTGGTCTCATTGCTCTGAAGGAAGTGCACCAATCACAGTGAAGCACGCCAACAATAGGTGGAAATAAAGCGTAAAGAAGCTCTTTAAGGACATCGGTCTGCATGGTGCAGAGCAGCATGGCATGAACACAAAAGTAAAATCTGCAGCCAGAGAGAGAAATGGTGTGAGTGCTATTTAAAGTACACAGCACTGATAAATAAAACCACACTAACCAATTTGTATGCTCGCGTCTCAGCTATTTTAGTTTTATTTCTAATTATCTCGCGTAAATAACTGATCACATTTGACTGTAAAATGCAGCGCAGCAGGATTTGCATCATAACGCATTACAAGAATGAATAAGGATGCTCTTACACTGTAATGGGGATCAGCCAGGCACAATATCCCAACCAAGCTGTGATCTCATGGCTCAAACAGTACCAGCCAAGTAAACTCCCAACCGTCCTCAAGCATAGAGTGTTAAGAGGGCAGCTGTGTGGATTCCAGTATACAGAAAATGCCCTTTCTACCACCATGGCACGCTGCCGTGCCTCTGAGGTGCTGGGCAAACACCATGGTGTCAAAGCACAAACAAACTACTGGAATATGCTTGTTGTTTCACTTGCTCCCGCCAATATCCAGCTGAGAACCACATCTCTGTGGCTGTGAAGTGGTGGGAGCTGCAGCAGCAGCACCTATAGCACCACTTTTACTGTGACTAACCAGAAGCCTCACAGTAAACACTTCCCACTGTTATCAAGTTAAACAAGATGAATTATTTTGAACAACGATATGGGTTATTTCCTTCCTTTTTTTCATTATGTTCTGCATATTTATATAATAGTGTATTACGTAATATCCTGTATATGTATATAGTGTGATGATGTGTGATATTAATATGATTATATATATATATATATATATAGTATATATAATAGTATTTGTATATATATATATATATATATAATATGTATAAATTATATATTTTATATATATCATATAATAATATATACATACATATACATATATAAATATATAGGGCTGTTAGAAGCTGGGATGAGAAGTCAGTCCCAGCCGATCACCCCGTTAGAGAAGAGGGAGGGAGAAAAAGAGCTGTGTCCAGGTCTTTCAGTATGGTCGGGTTAATTAAGGTGCTGTTGTGAGGCCAAAAGATCAGTCTGCAGGATTTCCAGTGAGCTTGACCCAAAGGTTTAATGAAGCACCTCTGTGTCCAATTAAACTCTCACTTACAGTTAGGTCTGCAAAGTCATGAATTCACACATATGTCCGTTACACACGCACGCGCACTCGTTCATACATGAGCACACACCCACCGCCTCAAGGTCTCTGAGCATTTCCTTTCTTTATTTTCCTTTGTTCTTTTATCTGTGCACTGTGTCAAAGATATTCTGATGTCTGTAGTGTTTGACTCAGACATCCCTGCACTCGCTTTCACTCTAGCTGACATAAAGAAAGTAGGTCAGATTCTACTAAGTCTTTCTATGTGAAAGCTTCAGAAATTATAGCGGCTTAGCCCTAAGGACACCATCAAGGCAACA